CTTGGTTTGTTAATGAAATTTGTGGTTTTAAAATAGCAAGCAGCTCTGAGTTGTTGTTTCGAATGATAAATTATCAGTGCAGTTTTATTTTTGTTTGTTTATTTATTTATTTATTTTGTCTATTGTTCATGTGAAACAAGATTTTGCTGCTTGTTAAAATTGCAAGCTCTGTGTTGCTGTGTTCTGATTGTTATAATTTGACATTTCATAGGTATCTTCGAATATGGTGTTCATGTAAAACAACAGTTACCTGGTTTGTACAAAGGATGATAAACAAATTTAATATCAAATGATTTTGATCCTTACTTGGTTTGTTGTTTCGAATGATAAACATATTGCTCTCTGTTGAATTGATTTTCATATATGGAATTTATTGCTCCCTACTTCCCATTTGTATCATAAATTCTTTGTGAAATTTTTTTTAATACGCGTGAGTGTATATATATATATATATTGATTGGAATTCAAAATTAAAAAGAGCATTTCACAATTATAATTGTAAAAGCAAAAGATTCATATTGATGCGTCTTAATTAATTTTACAAGCTTTAAATTAATATGTATATAAGTCTTTAGTAATTATTATATTCACAACATTCAAACAACAAACTATAAGAAAAATAAATTTTTAAATTTTAAATTTTTATTATTAGAACACCTGGTAGATGGTTGATACAACCAATGTTATTAATATAAATACATGTACCGTAACAACTGTGAACACAAGAAATTGTACATTTAGATATTAAGTTGTTGCCAGAAATTAAGATACTTAAATTATTAATAATGCTACACTTAAAGCCCATGGAGGGTTTGAACATTGTTTTTTTTTCATATATTTTTTTTTACCGCAGATGAAATTTTTATGGATAAAAGATGAATAAAAATGGCTTTTATAGACACTAGGGATCCTAGAAGTAAATTAGGATTGCATTAAAAAAATCCTTAGTATTTCAAGGGTTCAAGTAGAAAAAAGCCACTAATTTTATTTTAAATTTAGTAAAAACTTATAGGTCTGTATTCTCTTTTCTCTGGTTAAATATTATTAATTATTAATAAAAACTAAAAAGAATAGTGATTTTATAGTACATTACCTCAAAAAATATTATTTATTATAACAATATTTTTTTAAATAAAATTATTATTTTTTAATTTAATCTTTCAACATTTGATTTATCAAATATTGAATTTCATAATTGTTCATGGTTTTTTTATATGGTTATTTCAGTATCATAACTCATGTCATGGATTAATTCGATTAACTTGATTTTTTTAAGTGGTATTATTTTTAATTTCATGCTTTAATATTAAATTGATTAGCAATTAAGTTTTATAATTTTTTTAATTAAGTTTTTTTTCAACGTCACATAGCTAATCGGTTAGTTACATGTGACATTATTATTTTTATATAAATACATAATGTATTATTATTAAAAAATCAATTTATTTTTAATATTTATATAATATTAAATTAATACAAAGAAAATTATAAAGTTATTATACTTATTATCAAAATATTATTTCTAAAATATTTCTAGTTGATGTTCTTTTAAATATTAGATATTTATTAAACTTATATATATATATATATATATATATATATATATTACATTTTTAATTAAAAAACAGTTGTTATCTACAACTAATATATGTAGATATTTTGTGGAAAATTTCATAATACGTCAACATCATATATTAATTGAAAATAACATTTCACAATTATAATTGTGAAGAGAAGAAATGGTAGGACCAAAGTTATCAACATCTGTCTGTTGTGAACGCAAGAAATTGCACATGCCGTCATCAAGTTGTTGCCAATTATTATTATTTTTTTTAGATTAACGTGGGTGTCCGGGCCAGTTTGCGCGCACCACGACTAATCCCACGGGTCCTGAAGTTAACGACCATGTAAACCTCCAGTGGCCATCATATGAGCAACCAAGGACTCGAACCTGAGACCACAGAGGGAGTAAACCCCTTGATCCCAAGTCCTTACCACTTGGCCACCACGTAGATAGTTGTTGTTGCCAATTATTGATAATGCTATAGTTGTAAACGGGTTCAAATTGAACCAGTTAGATTAGAGCCCATAGAAGATAAGAAGAGTTGTCCACCTAAGCCATATTGCGAGTCCACCGTATACATACGCCCGTCCACATGAAGACCTTGTTTCGCTGATATCAAAGCCAATATAAAAAAGGCTATATTTGGTGTGTGCTGGATGGGCAAATAACTTTCTTTATTTTTATTTTTTTATTAAAAACATTTTCCTTTATCTCAGTTGATAATAATAATAGTAAAAAAACTAGGATAAAAGGATCAAAAACTCATTGACGCAAGTTATAGATTTTTTATTTTTAAGAATAATTCAGTTATTTTATTGTGTTTCTAAAGAGAAAAATCCAAAAATATCCTTAACCAATAATTAATTAAATTATATTTTTGAGAGTACTGCAATCATTACACAGAGAAAAATACTCCAATTAAATCTAGTAATAGCAAATGCATCTCATAAAAAAAGATGGTTTTATATCTGAAGCAAGTTCCATGAGTTTTATTTTGGATAGCGAAACAAACACTGATCTCATCTCAATCTCTCCCTCTGTAATTACGTGATGATTATCCAGGAATACGAAGCAAGCCTGGCTTGTCATCCGTCCTTTTAAGATCGTCTAGGTTTGAATACACAAAATTGTAGGTATAAAATTATTATCATCTGTCAATATAGCCATTGTGAACACAAAAAATTGGAGGTATAGTCTTAAATATGTGGTCTGAAAGATACGAGAACATATCCAGATTCCACATCATTAATGTTACTATTTTCCAGTTGATTGACTTCACCAGTTTCTTACATTGTAAAATGGACGAGGCTAGGGACAAGATGAAGGACTCAAGGGCTAAACCAAAACAGGCACCTAGTCTTTTTTACTTTAACTAAAGATATCATATGACCCAACACATAGATGTAAGAATTAGGCAAAGACATATTAATTCTCTGTGAATTGCATTCTCATCGCTAGTCTTTACTGGTTATTTTACCTTTCAAACAACTTAGTCCACATTCACGAGTTATGAACTTATACATCTAATTAACTACATTTTAAAAAATTCTCTTGCGTTTCTATGAGCTTGTCGTCGTCAAAGAGCTATTTTTTTTTATTGTTATTTAAGTATGTGAGGTAAGTGAATGTTGTTAATTATGATATTACTATGTATTTATTTATATTTTCTTTGGTATAAAATAATTGACACGAAATTTCAGAAATTGGGAATTTCATCAATAAGCAAATATAATAGGAAAAAGTGAAATCTAAAAGTTTTATTCACAGTTTT